AACCAGGTTAATTTATTCCTGAATTTCCTAGCTTTCCTTCAAAATAGGGTAATTTGTAATAATGCCTTTAATACTTGGCAAGGTAGATAGAGTACCAGTTGTCTGACACATTTTCACTACTGCTACAGCTAGTACACAGTGACACTAAGTGAGATATATATCATCTCCTCACCTCACATATATTACAGATTTTTCAGTAGTAGTATTTTAATATAGAATTTTAGTGGTAGTATTTTTCAGTAGTATTAGAGAGAGGGCAGAAGAAGTTGGAATTAACTGTAAATGAAGAAACACACTTATGGAAAATATGGCATGACTTTCAAACATCTCAAGTTTCAGTTTTTAAAGCAAACTTCCTTTCTCTTACTTTTATTCCCAATATAGAAGAGAAGCACAGAATTAATTAAGAAAATTTTAACCCTTTGTTGAACTTTTTTTTCTTCTGTGTGTGTTTAGGTGTGTGTATAACTTAAATCATTTCTCACAGAAAACAAGTATTGGGCTAGGTCAGATTGCAGGCAGCAGGAAGGAGCTTAAACAGCAAATTAAAAGAAAACAAATTCATGTTAAGGAAAAACAACACTAAAAAAAATGACACCTCTTGACTTTGTTTCAAGGGCTCATGTATAACCTTACCCTAATCTAACAGCTCGTCATGGTGCATGGTCTCCCTTTCCCTTCTTCATTCCCTCTTCTCTGCCAGTTCTAGCTTGCAATTTATTCTTCACCAAATCATTTTAATTCTTTTTTCCACCATGAGGTTTTCTGCAGAAAGGTCCAATAAATAACAATGAAAAATGAGTAGCAATGAGAAAGAAAATAGGGAAGAGAGCATCTCCTGCTTTGGGGGCAATAAAACATTGTATTAGTGCAAGGTGGTAGTAGAGAACTTTTAGCAGATCAGGACAAAGGAGTAAGAAAAATGAGAAGGAATAGAGGTGAAAAATCAAAGTAACAGAACAGAGTACTGATAATTCAACCAGCCCACACTCTATTGTGTCATCTGTAACAGTAAAACATATTTCACATGCAAGACCCTTAGAAGATTTATAGAAGAGCTCATCTCACAGATTTCAGTGAGAATTGCAGCTGCACAGGTCCCACGGAAGGACCAGCACTCCTTGTTCAAAACAAAACCAATGCAATGTTACCTCTCAAGTGTTATACTCAATGTTTCTAAAATTCACCTGGTTAAAAAAAAAAAAAAAAAAAAGGGGGCAGGGGGTGGGATTTAAAAGACACCATGACACGTCCTTAGATCTAACCATCTCAGATTATCGGTAACTTTAAAAGTCTCCTATTCTGTTCTTCCATAGAGTTCAATAACCATATCTTATCCCCCCTATTGTCTTACTAGCATTACACCCTCTGTACAATCAAGTTCTAAACAGCTTGGTCAAAGTTTGGGTAGACAGGCAGCTTTCCCTGTGAAAGGTATACTGGCACAAATATCCAGAAAAATGCTTTCCATATTTCCAATAAAACAAGTCACTTACTTTTACTAGTTTATAAAGACTGAACCCATAATGATTTCATAACCATAAATGAGAAAAGGGACCACAGCTTCTTGAAACATAAGCTAAAAGAACAGGTGGACCCTGAAACAGAAGTTATACAGTAGTGTTTCTGCAGTCTATCTTCTTCAGGATATTATTTCTTTGCTTGGGACTTCTTCACAGTCAGAACACTGACTTCCCCTCTCTCAGTACCATTGCAAATTTTACATCCATTGCAATGTTAGTTTACATTTACTGCTGTATTTTACCTTATAGCACCTATGCTCCAACTTAATAAGCAAGCATAACCAGACCATCTCCTCATTATTTCCACACCACTCAGATGTTTGTAGTTGCTTTTTTTAAAAAAAAAAAAAAAAAAAAAAAGTTTATTTCCATCTAGCCTCTTAGGCGATGATTTCCCGAGGAAAAAAAAAATGTTTAGCTTGCAGAGCTACTTCATGAATGTACAAAACCTTTTCAACTTTTACACAAAGCTGCACAGAATACAGCTTGTTTTGCTTAGAAGCCTTTTGTGTACTTTTGGGAAGCCCCAAAAGTCAGAAGAAACTGAAAACAATACCACAAACTGAAAACAAGAAACAGAAAACCTGGAATTGTTAGTGCCATTTTAACCCCCAGGAAATTCATACAGCTGACAAAAGGGGATCCACATCCTCCACCCGGATACTCGTTTGAACAGATCCACTTATAATTAAATGTCCATGGTTCATGAAGGTGCACAGCAAGACAGATCTGAGAACTGCTCTGAAGAGAAACTAAATTCACAAGAAATTACTTGTTTCTTAGGAGAAGTGGTGACCTGCCTTTTAGAAAGGGCACTGACTTAAAAGACAAATAGCCTCAAACTTTTTACTTCTGTTCTTCAGCTTGGATGAACATGGTGTTCAGAAAGTCATAACAAGCAGAGGATGCTCTAGTTAATTGCATACATACACTACTGCAAGCAAATGAACCAGGCTGTGCAGGGAGAAGGAGCACACTATTGTTAACTATATTTTAACACGTGCACTAGAAAACCTTCAGGGAAGAAGAGATACTGCATTTGATACATTACATGTAGATGTGCATCATAAGACTTGCACCAAAAAAACCCCTAGAAACTACTTCTCCTTGGAAATTCAGTGAACATACACAGAGGGATGCACCTAACAGTATAGTCCAAAGTGCTCTAAATTTAAGAAGAATCAACATGTTGCCTAAGTGATGCATACCTACTCTAAGCTGACAGCAAGCTCCATACTTTTTTGATGGCAGGGATTGTCATGTTGTTACATTAAAGCAACAGTCTAGTCAGAATTGGAATGCTGCGCCTCTCCGGCCCTCCCTTAGCACCTTCGGCAGCTGCGCTATTCCTTTCACGAGGAAGCCTTTCTCCTGCCCAAATCGCGCGGCAGCAGCCGCCAACCCTCCCTGCCGAGGGCAGCGAGGCTGGCCAGGGCGTGCTTTGGCGGCCCCCAAGCCC